CCGTGAACGAATGTCGCATTGATCAGTACGTCAAATAAGCGCAGTTCAGAAGTGTTCAGCGTTTGGTGATGGAGATGGTGGCGCAAAATTGGCGTTAACCTACTGCCATATTCGGGGTCAAGGCGCATAATAACCCCCATAGGCAGAATTTCAGAAGAAAATTTTTCTCGTGATTTTGTGTAACAGTTCAATAGTCCCAGAAAGTCAAACGATCATGTCTGTTAAGAGTGTACGGCGATGCTCGAAACCTTCGGAACCATGCTATTTTTCCGATCCAACTCGCAGAGGCATTTTTGGCAACTTCAGAGTCTCAAATCCTAGCGCTTTTGCATTTTCGCAAAGCGAGATACTGACTAAACACGTTTCCGATCTTATTTAACTAAACTCTGGAACAGTTCACTGCCATTTCAAGATAAGATTTAGTGAAGTCTCTGTCTGAAACACAATCTCTACACAACCTCTCACAGATTTATTCTCATAGTGATCGTATTCAAAACACATATCTCTGGCGTATATACATTTCTCTGTTGGGATCGAAAGTGAAGTGAATCGTTGATTCCGGTACATTTCCAGCTGAAATTCAGTGAAGGTTACTCTTCAGCATTGCAACTTTTACCAGTTTGTTCATTTACTAAAAATGTGAGCTCGTGAATGTCAAGATTTTTGAGTGAAACATTTCATCCGGACCTTTCTTTCCTAGGTACCAGTGGCGAAAGTCTTGGACTTGGAATGCACATCTCAACTCAAAACTGTAAGTCAGCGAGAGAGCACCAGAAGTGAGAGGGCGCGGGCCAATAGATTATCTAGCTACGATTAGGCGTGTAGATGGCTTCGCAGCAGCGTGGGTGGACTATAAGTACCACTACCCTCCAGCCTCGTTTCTAAGCAGCTTTGAGCGGATTATGGCATGCTCCTGCAGCTGTGGACACATTCACCCCACACATGGCAAGAAACATGACCCTGGAGGTGAGTGTACAGTTTGTCATTAGGACAGCGCATTATGTTGTAAAACACCATCAATTATCCAGGTGTGGGGCTGCGCGACTGTGGTTTCAGATTCGACTCAATGCTTAATTTCTATTATGAGGTCGGCCTACAAGCGTCCGTGTCCAAAAAGGGTAAATGCTCACCAAGAATGGACTTGATCCATGGCAGCATTCTGGGAACTGAGACATATCTGTCCTCTGCTTCTTCTGAAAAGAATCAAGTTCAACAAGAAAAGAACATGAGAAGGAAAAGTAGTCGGCTTTCATAGAATTGCGATAGCGTGCAGCCTCTTGCGAGAATAAAGACACCAATACTGAATATCTGACTATTCTCAATCATTAATCAGTTTGTATCATTACCCTTTATCTATCACTACTGCTGCAGAGGCGGCCACGGAGAGAGAGATAACAAGAGGGGAAAGGGGTGGGAAAGGTGAAATCATTCTCACTAGACAGGGCTCTACGGAACGGCTCACTGGCTCCGCGCAGGCGTTTCGTGCTGGCTGTGGCTGCACTGGTAGCACAGCAATGTGGACGCGAAGGCTAGCACCTTACTACGGCGAGGCAAAAGCATTTGTCCAATGAAACTGTCACTATATAGTAAACAACACTAGGACATAGACAGGTGAGAAGGATCGGATGATATGGGGCTACACTCTGCGGCACAAGAGACAGCTCAGAGACGAGGTTCAACTATACAATTTTTTTCAAGAAAACATCTGATCTGTTGTAAAAGTTTCACTTCTATGTTCTTCAACCAGATAACATGAGGTTCCTCCACTCAGAACCCCCAAGACTGTGGCTCTGCTGTCCCCTTCATCCACGCGGTAAAGTCCAGCTCCACTGTCTCCCTGAAATGAACAGACATCAATGATATTAATCGGATATATCCTCTCACGTGAAAGCAGAACAATTGCATTCCTATGATTTAAAGGCAGTTGGCACGATGGTTTCCTACTTAGCCTAAAATGCTAGTAGGGCGCTGTATAGTGGGGAAATGGCGAAAGAACGGAGTGAAACGGTCAAAATCCTGCGAAGAAAAAGCCTCCGTTCTCAGTGACTTGTAAATCGATTTCGGACGAGTTTCCCGTAGGCATCTTACCAATCACCGCTACCGAAGATACGGCTGCATATGTGTACCCATGTATGCATGCAGCATCACGGCCGCTTCATACCAATCCCTTCGCTTCATAATTTGCTTAGCAAATGAATGAATACGAGCGTCAGGAACGGTCGTCCATTTGTGGGCGGGCGGGCGTGGCGGGCGTTTGGGACGTAAAGTTGTGGCTTGATAGGGCCCTTATAAGGGCACCTTCCTCGGGGAAACCGCTATGCAGCGCCTGCCCAGGGTCGCGGAATTCTATCCTGCCAGGAGTATTGATCCTAGTAGTCTTGGAGGATTTATCGTGCCAACTGCCTTTAATGGAGGATTGTCGCCGAAAACTGCAGTACGCTCGAAGCAGCGAGAACGTCTGTTGCGGAATAGACCGAGTGCCGTTATTCTCTCGAAGGCACAGCTCGTGACCGCAGATTGCGGGAAACGGAACTCAAATAGGCACAAAAAAGTGCTAAGTATCTGATTAGCGGAGAAAAGCAGCAGAAAAAGCAGTCCGAAATGTTATAGAGAAAGATAACATAGTGGCTACTAGCTAGTAGCTAGCAGCCGGTGAGGGTCGGCATGGGCCTAAGGGGTGTCCATGGGCCTAATTAGTCAGCTTCTAGCGGAGTTCTTGCCGTTTTTCACATTTTGAAAGTAGCGCAGCCTCAAAAATCGCCTTCCGGATCGTCCGACACATTTGAGAGGTCATAGCCTTATTTTATCGCGGAAAGTGCCTCTAATGCCACCGAGTGAAGGTCTGTTCATCGAGTCCTGAAAGCGTGTATAGGAAGTCCCTAGGAGGTTGTCAGCGAGGAGAGGTTCATCAATGGAAATGAATTATTCGAGGCAAATGGGATCGAATACATGTGAAAACCCTTGCAGGGACCCTGTGAATTTGACTCCACGAAAAATGAAGATAGCTATCCAGTTAAACGGCAGATAAATGGCAAGGGTGGATGTTTTTTTCTTTCATTGCTCTTCTTCCAAAAACGTTTCTATAATACTGGTCGGATCGAAGTGCGATATAATGGCTTGTTCCAATTTTGCAGCTACTGAAGAGAAACAAACTGACCCGACAGACAGCACGAGTACCCCCGCGCATAACGTACATTTCGTTTTCGTAGCTGCTTTGATTCCGTGCGTAAGTGAGTTTGTGCAGCATGACGTCACCGTTGTGTTCCGCTAAAACAAGGCTATTTCAATGGAGAAACGTTAGATAAGGCAACCTCAACAGTGTTATCCGGCACTCGAGCAAATACCCTCTACGATGAAAATTTGCCAGGGCATTCGCGCAAATAAAAGTCAACTAGAAAGTGGAGAGAAAAAGAAGAAGATTGAGATGTTGGTACTCTCCCTCTCACGCTTTTCTTCTTCTATTTTTTTTTTTTTGTTTTTCTTTTTTTTTTTTTTGTTATTTTTTTTTTTTTTCTTCTTCTAAACTGAAGGTGTGAGTCCACGCCAACCAGCTAGGCGACGAGGGCGGTATTTGATTTTACTTCAGCTGCCACACTAGTTCCTGTTTCACAAGTCTCGCTCTGATAAAAATTTAGTGAAATCTCTGAATTCTAGAGCGGGCTCGTCTGCACCATTAAGCGACGCCGAAACCTTGTAACTCACGAAAGCACCCTACATGCGCGACCCAACCGTCGATGCGAAGGTTAGGCAAGAATTTGGAACGCGCTCTTGCGCTCCGCAAAGGTGCCCCGTCGAACTTACTGATCAGTCATATTTCGTCTGAGCACATATGTCTAGGATTTCTGCGGTGGGGTAGCTTGACTAGTTCATTATGTTTATCGCCATTAACCGTATGATAAGCGTTCGACTGCCACTTAAGTACTACCTTACAGGGTTCTATACTGTCACAGATCCACCTACTAGCTTTCTATAGCTCATGGTCAGAAGAACGAGTTGGTTGCGCTGCTAAAGGGCGCGGTGTAAATGCTAGGAAACTCCTTTCATAAAAAATATGTTACTAACTTGATTGAATTCCCCATCCGAGCAACCATTCGTGTCGTTTCTACTCCTGTTGAGACATGTTGCGTCCTGTTCTGAAGGTAAGTGCAAAATCGGCCCGATCAGACTCCTTGTCTTCTACCGTGGGGCTGTACTTAGTTGAACAATGTGCAATGTCTGTTCGGATCGGTGCACGACGTCGCCTGTCGGTTAGAAAGTAGACCTAATCAAATATTGTTCGCTGTTCGTAGCTTCGTGATGTTTTGGCTTTCATTCCATAATGGAGAGGAAGTTTCTCTGCCACCTACTTGTTTTTATGAAGGAAGTCTTGCTTGATCTCTGAACTGGTTAAGTTAACTCAGTCTTTTCTGACAGTGTGGTATCCACAGCTAAAGCTGTAAGACGATGACAAGGAGTGATTAACGGCAGAAATTATCTCACAAAATGCACCCAGGTGTCCGGGTTCAACGTTCTCTTTCAGTTCTTAGTTTTCTAGTATTTATGAGAAAGGGGTGCAGTGAAGAGATATTCCGCAGTTCGTTATTCTCCGAATTCTGACTTAGAAGAATTCAAGAAGTTCTAATAAGATAGAGCCAGAAGTGCAATTTCTTTTACTACGGATGGTGGCGCGTGTCAGGAAAATGGGTTTGGTGCGGCGTCAGTCCGTTCTCCACCATTGGATTGCGAAACGATAGTAGCAAATTTCAGTGGGCAAACGGGCCTGGCTTCCGAGCAACCGGCTTCTCTTTATCCCTATGACCCCTCCCACTAAGATCCGCACAGCGTACAAGACTTCAAATTTGTTGCAAAGGTGTCCCCGAAAGTAATCTAAGTGATGAAATGGAGCTAAACCCTATAGAAAAGCTTCTTCGCCGAAATGCTAACTTTATCACTTCACCCATGTCTAAAATGAAAAAGTCAGCCAGCCACACCGCGTGTTTTGGCGAGAGCTTTACATCTCGTAAGAGTACTCTTCTTAGCCTGAAAGGGATTCCCCAAAATTCTTCTGTGTTCTGTACTTGCCAGGGCAGGTATCCTAATGCGACCAACTGAGTAGGATTTTTCCTCCCTCACCAACAAGTACACCAGCTTCAACAGTTTCAAAATTAGCTTTTCTATCGCTTTCCATGTAAATAGCGTTCTTCTGTTATCGCGGACGAACATCTACTCTGGACTTGGAGTCCTCCCGTGGACCCAAACCCGATGCGGTGAGTTGCAGACTCGGGTTGCATTGAAGGAAGAGTGGGAATTGAATGGGGAAGCAGAGAAATGAAAGACAAGAATCTAGACATCAGATTACATGGAAAATTTACGAACGTTTTTCACGCGATGAAACTTCTGTCGTTTACAAGGATATCTTGTGCAATCACTGCCAATCATTGTTTCCAAGATCGTCTCGAGCGTATCTCTATATTTCCTGTAAAAAAAACCTGTTGTAAATTTCTATTATGTTCTTCGACGTCTTTCTTCAGAGAATAGCCTCAATCTCCTTCCCCTCAAATGCACGCAGCACTATGTGATTCTTGATTTTCTTGAGAACAAATGGTGGCAATAAATTACCATTCTTTTGTAAAACAGCTGCGCCCGCTGTTATACTACATGTCGGTTTCGTGTCAGGGTGCGCGCAGTTAACCTTCTCGTTCTGAATATTCATCCGTGAGACTGGTTATCAGTTTTGAGGGCAGCATCTATAAAATGAGTCGAGCTGTTCGGCTGGGAGGCATTTAGCCTTTTTGTCAGTCTTTTTGCTCGTTCCTGTTGGGTTACACGTCCTGCCTGGGTCAGACTTGTAGACTCAAGTGTAAACGCAGCCGATGCTGTTGCCTCGTTGGACTGTCGGGAACATTGTGGGGAGGCAATTCGAAAGCGATTCTGGGCAGAATTGTCCCTACAGTTAGTTAGCTTAGGCCAATTGCCTCTTGATTGTCATTGAGTTCTGATTTTTAAGGTTAGCGGGTGCATGTATAATTTTGACCTTCGTTGATAATCGGTAGTAGATGGCTCCAGTAACTGTATGCCTCTGTAGACAAAGCCATTTCTGCGTGAATCTAATGAAAAGCGCAACCGAATTATTCGTGCTGATAAGAAGTCACATGACTCCAAAAACTCCGTAAAAGTCACATGGAGCGTTTTAGAAGAGAATTCAAAATACACGAACAACTTACTTTTCCTTTTGAGCAGAGCAGCCCATGGTATCTCGTTTTCCTCTGCAATTATTTCGTCATCCATCACGCGCAAAACGTGCGACCCAAAAGGACCCTGCCGATTAATAATGTTTTAGTCAATTCGAAACTTTATTCGCGGTAACTGAATCTTCTTCACGTTCTCCACAGCCCTCTTCGTTATAGATTCCGTCGTCGTCCTGTAAAAAAGTATTGTTTTCATTCCGTTTACAGGGCTTGATGAATCGTAAAGCTTTCTCAAAAGGACATAGTGAAGGTTTTCCCGGTCATCAAAATGTTTTTGATTCTCTTATTCTGTGGACTTAATTATGTCCCTCATTCTTTCCTTGCATTACTTCTTGCTATATCCTTTATCTTAATTCTAGGATATCCATGCCCCAGCTGAAAAAGAGTGAGTGGAATTGCCGTCTACAATTTGTTCGTGCGTGCTGATCCGTAGTGAATAAATCCCGATATAAAGACTGATTCTGGAGTTCTTATTTCACCACCAAATACACCGATGCTATCCAGTATGCGTGTTTCTCGCAGGTCAGCTTCCCTGTTCCGAGGCATCTATATGTAAGCCTATTCCTGAAGACCATATTGTACAGTTTTATAGTTGAGAGCTTGACACTGGCTTGTTCGTCACCGCTAACAGTCATAATCATTTATCTGAGTTGCAAAGAAAATGTCATCGTTATTTATTCAAAAGTGCTGTAGTCCTTCACTCCGATGATAACCCTTTTTTTTATAGTGTCAGCCTTGAAATGTGGACGGCTTGGCGACGGGTCGAGAGTCCGTTTCGCCTTTTTCAGAGCTTTTTCCATCCGGGAGCGACGGCGGAGGGTTGGAAGGAGCATAGTTAATAGAATATTGTCTAATCCTGACCACCAATACGATTTGACCAGATGACGTGGGTACAGGTAGTCGATGGAATGTTGTTGACAGAGAGTAAGTAGTTAGGTGGGCCCAGGGCTGTCAAAGGGAGGATGGTATGTGTGCGCAGCGAGGGTGGTGAAGGGAAGACGCGAGGGCGCCAGGAGGGACAAGCAGGACCGATGCGCTATCTGTCGTGGAAGATTTGTGCCGCAGATCTGATCAGGTGAAGTGTCTCTGGTATTAAGCGCCTGTTAATCGGCCCGTTCGAGAAGAGTTAGAGTGGGTTGCGTACATCAACTGGTGGAAATTCAAAGGCAGGAGTTCCTGAGCTGAGGAGTGCGCGGAGCCCATCAATGACAGTTATGGGTGAAACCGTACAGGGTGGAGAACTTACGCGGCCTGCTAAGTTATTTGACCTGTGATGGCCATCAATCAGGCAGTAAAGGCTCGAATGAATGCGGCTTGGATGAAGGAAGTCCACCAGTATCCTCTGCTAGGCGATGCTCCAAGACCTTGAAAGGCACTGTGTACTGGGGCGTTGTAAGGCCTAAAGTGCTCTACGGCAGCAAATGCTTGCCCTTAGGCAAGAACCATGGAAAAACAGCTCCACTGTGTTGAAATCAGGCTGCTTAGATGGGCCTGAAGCAGGACTCGTCTAGAAGCAGACGGAAACGATGGCATGCGGCAACAAGACAGTTCCAGTCCAGCTGAAGACACAGGCGCGTTTTGCGAAGGTTCAGGCTATATAAGGAAGGCACCAGACTTGAAAGCACAAGCCCCGAATAAAAGGTTAAAGACTGATTAGAAGAGACCTAGTAAAGTGAAGGCTGTGGACGAGGATGTCCTGGAAGAGGATGCCGATGGTTGGATTGACGCCAAAGAGTGGAAAATAATGGCAGATTTCATCCATAAGCCCAGGAAATGCGATAGCGGTGTGTCCTCTATCTTATAGCGGCGTACGGAAGGGGGGGGGGGCTGACAAACAACTCACATGATCTTTCTGTGATAATAGTCTTTGAAGGGAAAGTTATAAAGTTGACTTTAACTTCTCGGACTTTCGAGGGATGAGGGAGTCAGGGAGGAATGAGAGAGAGAAAACCCGAGGTTTAGACTCGATAAAGGAAACATCATAGTGAACATTGTTTAACCTGTAAGACGTCGCTATTTATAGCGGCATCCAAATCGAGTTGTGACTGCTTCAAATTTTCGCCAGCCATAGCATCCATTACCAGAGACACAACAAGACAATTTCTTGTCACTGCTGAAGAATAATTATTTATACTTTTGCTTGGAGAATTCGGAGGATCGTATGCACCACAACTGTCTGAACATCAAAGAATGAGGCTTAGCATGACTGAGCAGCAGGCAATGGGACAGAGCGACTTAGGTTAAATGAAATCTTGACTCCAGCGGCTGGAGTTCAGGCATTTCAAGGATAAGTTTTCTCAGCAGTGTTGAAGTTAATCATTCTGGAAGTCAGTGGTACGCACCTTCGAGTGGTTTCGAGGCAATTCTCACTCCTCAAAGATTACAGCAATCCTTATCCTTTTTGATATGACCTGGTCACGTGGATCACACTCGCTTCAAATCCCTTGTGCGCCATGGACCCGATATTCAGGAGTGGACGGGCTCGCTCCTGCTTGTGTTGCAATAAGCATGAATACCACAACAAAGCAGCCCTGTCGGAAACTCTACAACCTTGCGAACGCGGCCGATGTGGTTGCTTACTTCATTTGGCTGAAATGGAAATATCCCGTACGGAGCCACGTCCACTGTTTTCCAAAAATGTGAAGTGCACTCCACATTTTGACTGGTGGCTGAGTTGAGTTTGCTGCGGATGAAGGTATGGTCAGGGGGTATGAGTGTGTGACGGCGTCACACTCGCTCTCTGTCGGTTGGAAGCGGGTATGCGACAACAGCTGGTAGAGAACAAGTGGACCAGTCTGATAGAGTTTTGTCACTCGTTCACTTCAACAGTTGTCGGAGAACGGCTTTGACCCGCGCTAAACTCATCTCGCTTGACACGCCCTTCGTCAGCAGCGAA